CTATCAATTATTAGACCGAACACCTAAGGCTTAGGTTAAGAAAAACTCTCTTTGTATAAAGTTTGAACAATGTGCTACTTTGGGATGAACTTACGTAATGAAAATTGCAATGACACCAAAATGAAATAAATGAAATAAAATTACCACAAGTACTCTTGGAGTTTTCCATTGCAATGTTCATATGCTTTGAGCCAATATTGAATGGGGAAAACAAATAAAAATGATTGTAAAGCTAAACACTATAAAAAATTAATTTCATAAAATAATATTATTACATGTACACATTGAAAAAAAACTTTCTGGAGTTCTTCAAGATAGATATTTCCATTCCCTACTGTCAATGCTTGAAAAGCTCTCAAATACTATTAAAAACAATAAACACTGTCGAATGAATGCATGTTTTAATGAAAAAAAGGTAGATATTTAAATCGTATGATTGCAATACCAGCATTTTCTGAGTAACTTTTATTACCAATTCATGCAGCAAGACAGAACCTTTCAGCAACCTTCCAGCAAAGCTAAGTTTCTCCAAGTGGATTAACAGAAACATCTAGTATCTATTTTCCTTTGTTATCTCGTTGCTAGGTATGAATCGTGCATGCTTATTGTCACTGTCATAAAATCGACTTTTTTTTTCGTGAGATTGATTTAAAAAAGATTTTTTTAAAAAGAATGATTCACTTATAAAAGGACCTCTATATCATGAAATCTTTTGAAAAAAAGAGACTTGTTATTTATGAAGCATGTGTTATGCAAATCTTCTCAACAACCCCATACATATTTTCTCATAATAAGACTGCCAAGCGGCATTCTATAACTGCCAAACAACATCAAATCGCATCTGCTTCGGTTTGTCTCATAAAAAAGCATCTGCTACGAAGTGTCTTTTATAGATGTGCTTATCAAACACAGAGAGATTAAACTCAAATCACTCATAAAGAAGAATCAAGAAAAAAAGCCCTGGACAACGGACAAGCCTGATTGATGAGGGTCTGTGTCGACATGTTTCTTAATCTGATCTTATCATCGTACATATCGTCGTCTCACTCATCGTATCGTCTCCCATGCTCGATCATTAATTATCTGCATATTACACCCAGTTATAGCGAAGTAAAGTGTTGTCGTGTTATCTTAACTGATTATTTACCCGCATTCATCATAAAATAAATAACGTGCAATATTAGTGCACGTGCTTTCACACAAATCATAGGAAGGAAGAAGCATCATAACTCAAAACATTAGGATATTTCGGTTTACATCCGTTTCTTAGCGGATAAACATCTTTTTCTCGTAACTCATTCATAATTTAATGTTATCAAAACGAGATCAGCTCAGAACTTATTACCTACCATTATAAATCATGTGTTGGTCCCTACCAGATTTCTACAAATAATGAGCATATTGCTTTCAGAATCGTCGACGGGGGGTTATCTTGTAAAGGCGATGATGATTCTGTCGACCAAAGAGAACGGTAGTCCTGTCGTCGTCTGTCATCGAATAGATGGATAAAAATAACGATGACACCGATGAAAATGACGATAAGAAAAAATAGAACTTACAACAATGTCATTTCACGGATTAAATACTTGATTTAATTATATTGACATGCTTCAGCACTGTAGAGAAAGGATGAATAATTGATAAAAATTGTATCTTCATATACTGTGTCATGCTCTGCGATCTAATATGTCCTGCTTTTAGGGGGATGCTACATGAATTATTTATATTTCCTTAAGTCTGTCATTATCCGAGCTCGTTTTATGCCTAATTTTTCTCCATTCTTTCTATACTACAATTTTATCGAAATCACTTAGTTCATTAGCAGTCTCTTTTTATTTCAATTTCGAGCCACTTGGTGCTACGAATACCTAATGCATGATCACAGCACTGTCATTATAAAATAACATCACCGAGTCACGACTTCAGTGGACATCCGCGGGCTTAATGCACTACTTTAATGTATTTTGACGCCTTCTAATGTTCGTAGACCACTGACCACTATTTTTTCCCCTATTTTTTATTCTGTTTCGTAAAAAGAATAATTTATACACGATGTTTTTATTCATTTACAGAGTTACATGAACAATTTTTACTCATCTTCGATTTTTACTTATTAGGTATAATACGGTGCATTATGGCGTTTACACTTTAGTATTACCTTGGGAACTTTAAAATCTTTAAAATTACAACTTCTTACAATTAGGATTTTTAATCTACATTTCGATTTGTCTAGAGAGCAAGACGGCATAAACTGAATTGCATTATTATTTACTCAGGTGTGATTTATATACCAACCAGGAATATAAAAATACGCGACGTTCCAAGTCGCTAATGTACCAATTCACAGTTGCACCGAGTTGCAGACTTCTGGCAAAAAAAAAATGAAACTGTTTTCTTGGAAGTCTTTTGAGAATTAATGTAATTTTGTGTGTGTTGAGTATATATCCCTCTCTACATTAAAGATATGTTGTCAAATTTATAAAAGTTGAAATGTGTTTTCTGAGAAATTCGAAGTATAAAAATAGACACTTGACTAGCCCCTTTCCATCATACAGCATATACATTGTAAGTCGAATCAATTTGTATTGTTTAACTGGAAACCAGTCTTTCACAAAAAGGTACATTTGGGTTTTTTTCTGAATCAGTTTATTACTATCACAACCAGACGTTTTATCAATCCGCAATAAATAATTCTGCTTAACATGAAAAAATCAACCTCTTTGATCAAATATTCATTGAGTATGTTAGTCAAATCATTTTAAGAAAAATAACAAAACTCTCATCAAGGGACGGACGTCATATTCTCTAATTAGATATGACGGTACATGATCTGATAATATTTTAAAAATTCTCTGATCACCCATTTGAAATATTGATAAATAATGGATAATGAAAATACATATTATTTGAAGTTGAAACAAGATGTGTTTGTGAAACAAAGTTCGAAAAAAACTAGGTCACAGTCAAGGTCACAAGGTCATCATTGACCTTGGTGTCATTTGAAAGAACTTGATTAGTGGAGTGTGTATACCAAATACGAAGTCTCTAAATGTTATGGCGAAGATACGAAAAAGCTATTTTTTCTAAGTAAGATGGGGCCTGATACAAATTCCTTCAGCCTCTAAATATGAACAGAAGACAAACTATGCTTTAAATCCGAGTCCACTTGTTCTCGAATACCCCTCATCTACATTTCAACATATCGAAATTATAATGAAATGGTCAGGAAGTTGAATGCGTATTTTGTTTGTGAAAACACCATATATATTAGATTAAATCAACAAATACTTTATATATAAAATCAATCAAGCCCAGCAAACATGAATATATTATTAATGTAAGATAAATAAGCTGTGAAATAAGCTCTCTGAGAAAATTCCAACAGACTTCTGATTTTTTCTACTAGAGAGCCACAGTTATGTAGTTAGATTTATTTAACTTTTCGACTTTTCATATGAGCCATTATTAAACATTGTATACAGAACCTGTTTTTTCCCCATCTTCCGCATAGTTATATTTGATTTCAACGATAAAAATTATTTATAAATTCTCTTAAAGCTGTGTTGTACATTATGAAAAGAAAGACAAATCAATACGATTGTAAAATTTAATTTCGATAAGTATGGTTGATATAATTCTCAAGACGCTAAATAAATACACACATCAAGTGAGCTTTCCGTAAAAGATTAATAATGATATTTCAAACAATTTATCCTTTACTAATAGATTGATAATGGACTTCTCATCATAGGGGTACTTTACAACGAAATATATATACATAACAGTATTCAAGCTCAAAAGCCCATAAAACAATACAAAATAGGTGCTAGCAGAGCAAACACGGACCTCCAAATCATCGGATGTGGGATCAGGTGCCATGGAGGAGTGAGCATCCTCTGCCGACCGGTCACATCCGTCGTATGCTCCTTGTCATGATCGGGATATTCTATACTAAGTATATCAAAGTACAGATGAACTTCGGTCTCTCGAATACCATGGATATATTGAATTGATTTGATGGTCCCAATTACTTATTTTGTAAGTATTTTTAACGTTATATGTTTTGAATCACCAGAATTCTCGAAGTTTTTGCTCAGTTTTATTGAGTTTGAGATAACTAAGTTTGACTGTATTTGTCCAAGTTCAAACCGAGGAATTACTGGAGATCTAGGCATGACCATGGTATATCTTCTTATTTGGAGCTTTGAATTAGTCTGAATTACTCCAGAAATCTGAGTCCATGCAATTGATATACAAATAAACACATCAAGAATGCAATTTTACACATTTTATTTTTTAAAAATGATAAAAAATGATAAATAGAGAAATTAAAATGTAATGTAGTGATGATCGATCGTAACAGAAGTTTGTTTTTTGTCCAAGTTATGTTCAGCCGAAAATTATCAATGAATATCTTAAGTTTCCTCATGAGGTTCCATACACACAGTCTCTTATTTTAAACCAAATAATTTCCTAAGCCTTCCTCTGAAAGACTTCTTTTTTGGTGGAGTGGGCACCTGAATAATAAAAAAATATTGTCATATATAAAATTTAATTTAATTTGATATATTTTTTAATATAATACATGTAGATATAAAAAAGTAAACACATGGCTAGAGTGAAATGTCTTGACATGAGGTATGATAGCATGGTGCTTTTTCTTGTTTGTCTTTTTTTATCAATCTAAATTCATTGAAAGACATCACATAAATGCATAAAATACAAATTACACGTTCTACATACCTGTCCTACACTTGAGGTACAGTGGTCATTCTTAATCTCTGTTTCCTTGTGGCATTGTGTAGTCTCAACATCCTAAAAAGGAAGAAGGTATTTTGTTGAGCACTTTTAATAAATATTAATACTTTTCAACAAATATTAAGCCATGAAGTCATCTTTGCTCACAAGGTTTTCTGATCTCCGCTCTCCTTACACACAATAGATTTATATGAAAGAACATTGCATAATTAGCATCTCCCATAGATGGTACATACATCATGTTAATGTTGATAATACTACAGTATACATATTTTCATGGATATTTTTGCACAGAAAAAAACTTCCAAATGATTTCTACACATTACTAGTAATGTATCAAAATCTTACCTGTGGAGAGTTGTTTTTAAATGTGTCCACCTTGAACATGAAAAGCTTTCTAGGGACAAATAAATCTTCTTCCTCGTCTTCTGGGTTGGTGCCTTTGTTGAATTTCTATAAAATAAAAAACCCTTCATTAAGGTACTTTGCAGAAATATTTAGATTTTTTTTGTTTGTTTTAACTGTACATGTCAAAACTATGAAAATCATTTAGTATATAAAATTTTATCTTATTCTTTCTTATGTTATCTTCTCAAACCATTTCTGTTCCTATGCTCCACAATTGTTGGGTGCCAAAGATATAAATAAATGGCATTCACATGAAAACTTACTATCAGCTCTTTGTGAATAGCTTTCCAAATTGTCTCCCTTCTTTCTTCTCTCTCATTTCTGCTCTTCAATTCTCTTAATGCCACTACCTGAAAAACGAATTTATCAAAACTAATTTACAGATCACATTTTTTAAAAATTGGGAATAATCCCATTTTCAGTTCTTGCATTATTGCAATCAGTAACAGTAATATTTGGCATATTTACCTTAAGCTCTTTCAACATCAGCGCCATCATTTCCTTCTGTTTCGTGTTCTGTTTTCTCTCCAAATTTTTCTTTGTCAAAACTGCCTATAAGAAAAATTTCAATAAAATTAAAATTATATTAAACAAGCTAGACAGGACCATTAAAATTTAGAACATAATCAAAAAGTACAAATATATAAAATAAATTAAGGATGAAACACATTAAAGTTTACCATCAACTCTTGATGCATCTCTCTCTGAATGGTATTCCTTCTTTCCTCTCTCTCACTTCTTTTCTCAAAATCTCCTGACGCCACTACCTAAAAATCAAATTTTTTCAAAATCTATGAAAAGTTTACTTTTTTTTTCAAAAATTATGAAATCCCCCACCTGCCCATTTTTATCAGTTCATGGAACATTGCAACCAATGATAGTAACATTTGGCATATTTACCTGAAGCTCTTTTAACACCTCGGACATAATCTTCTTTTGATGATTGAATTCTATTTTCTCTTGATCCCTTTTAACTGAAACTACCTGTATGAATATAATTAAATAAAGAAAAATTAGTTTTTTATATCAGAGAAATTTGATTACAAATATACTAAAAGTATATGATTAAATATTTGGTGCCTTTGTTGAATTAATAATTGGAACCCTTCATTAAGGTACCTTGCAGAAATATTAGATTTTGTTTTGCTTTTTTCAATTTTACATGTCAAAGCTATAAAAATTATGTAGTCAGTCTTTTAGATGTAAAAGATTTTATCTTATTCTTTCTTATGCTATCTTATTAATCCATTTTTATGATATTTTCTAATTTTATCTCTATGCTCCACATTTTGGATACCAAAAATAAAAAGACATTCACATGAAAACTTACCATCAGCTCTTTGTGAATAGCTTTCCAGATTGTCTCCCTTCTCTCTTCTCTCTCATTTCTTATCTCCAAATTTCTTGATGCCACTTCCTGAAAATGAAAATTTATTAAAACTTATTAACAGTTTAGGGTTTTATTTTAAAACAATTGCGAATAAATAATCCAATTCTAGTTTTTGCATTATTGCAATCAATAACAGTAATATTTGACGGTATCTTTCAAATCACATTGTTTCCTTCATGCCATCTTGTTCTGTTTTCTCTCCAAATTTTTCTTTGTCAAAAGAAATATTTTCAATAAAATAAAAAATAGACAAAGCAAGCTAGACAGGAGCATTAAAATTTAGAACATAATCAAAAAGTACAAATATATAAAAAAAAATTAAGGAAAAAACACAACACATTACCATCAACTCTTGGTGCATCGCTTTCTGAATGGTATTTCTTCTTTCCTCTCTTTCACTTCTTTTCTTAATTTCCTTTGATGCCACTACCTGAAAATCCAAATTTATTAAAACTTATTGAAAGTTTACCTTTTTCAAATATTATGACCCCCCCCATCCATTTTTTATCAGTTCCTGGAACATTGCAATCAATAATAGTAACATTTGGCATATTTACCTGAAGCTCTTTTAACATCTTCGACATGGCAGTCTTTTGATGATGGAATTCTATTTTCTCTTGATCCCTTTTAACCAAAACTACCTGTATAAAAATAATTAAATAAAGACAAAATTAAATTTTTATATCATAGAAATTTAATTGCATATATACAAAAAAGTATAGTATGATTAGATACATGTGAAAGAGCATATATTTTTTGAATTCAAAATTTACCTTTAATTCTTCGTGGATTGTCTTCCAAAATTTCCGCGATTTTTCTATGGCAAGAAATGTTTGCCTGAGCTTCACGATCTTTTTAGGGGCTTCTCTCTGTAATACAATTAGAAAACACTTATTCATCAATCTACAAAGAAAAAAGTTTATATTATTTTGCATCTTTTAAGAAATCTACACAGTACGTACCATTAGTTCTTCCTGCATCTTTTCTTTAAGCTTTATTTGTGGCGCCATTGCTTTCAATTCTGATTCCATCTTTAATAAGTTTTTCTATATAAACAAACAAATATTAAATTAATAAATGAAATAAATAGATAAATACATTCATGAATGTTATCAAATTGATCTATTATAAAAGGAGAGAGTGTGCATGCATGGGCTTTGTCATTGTCAATTTCACTGCATGGATTTCAATAGATAATATATTTAAAAATGTAATCAAATAATCTTTCAAAATGTGCTCCTTTGTAAATTAAAATGGTAAGCACAGCATTACCTGTCTCTCTTCTTCTTCTTCAACAATCTCTACCCAACTTTTCTCAAATTTTAGAATCTCTTTCTTTGATTTCTGAAAATAAAAATTCACTAAAACATCTTTACTTGTCTCCAGCTATCTTTATCTCCGATGATATAAGATAGGTTTACTCTTGTACACAAAATGGTTGATACGTAAATGATGTACATATAGTTGTGTTTTACCGCTTGTAAGTTTTTGTCAAAAGGCATGGGTCTAGCATTTTGTTCTATTTATATTTATTGTCTTTACTTTAGCCCCCCCCCCCCCCGAAATGAATAAATCCACAGTCTGTAATACTCACCAGGTCTGTTACAACTTCTTCACCAAAGTCCAATATGAGATCTCCGTCTTGTAATAATTAAAAAATACGAAAATACAAAATTTATGGCATAAAACTACCTAAACATAAGGTATAAGTTTGAACCCACTCAAGTAAATAATCGACGTTGCAAAATAATGTTTATTTTAAAACATGGTGTTATTTTGTTTTCAATTTTGTTTAATGTACCCTAAAAACTTGATTTTGCCCCCCCCCCCCCCCGCCTCATCCCTGCAATCAAATCAATTATTTTTTATAGTTTTAGTAAGGAGATTAAGAATGGCTTACAAAAGGGACAGGGAGCATGTTTCTCGGTACATCAGCTGAACGGCACGCCAGCTCGGTCAGAATTTCCTCAAGTCTCTGTTCCATGTTCATTTTCTCACTCACTATACTGCACTCTGAAAAAAAATAAAGCTTTAAAAGTGTTGTTTTTTTTTAAATATAGATACTCCACAAAGAATATTGCAATTAAGATTAACTAAAAACATTGACTCCCATGAGGGAAGGAAACGGGCATTAATGAATATGGAATTTCTATAGTACATGCATTGCTGATAAATTATTTAAAGTTACATAGGTTAAAATTTGATTTCGTAAAATTTTATGCATTTAATTAGAAAATGAAAACAATCAGCATTGACCAATTAACGATTAACATAGATACAGTTTACATTTACAGATCGCCACACAAGGGAGATATTCCATGTACACTGTATGTATGTGAGCGGGTAAAAGGATTTAGACTTCGAACATTATTAATTATGAAATTTCTTCTCAATAGATCTTTAATTAAGTTAAACTAGGTTGACACACTACATTTTAGTTTTAAGGGGGAAAATGGCATACAAAAAATAGCATTTCAATAACGGAAAAGGTTTTACTCACAAATTGCACCTCTGTCGCTTTGTATAAACAAAACTAAACTATGACGTCATAGGTCATCGTTAGAGACCTCAAACGTGACGTAACAAAGTGTTTGTAAATGTATCATTTTGATAGGCACTCTAAATCAAAACTATACTTTCTTTTAATTATACGTATACACATGTATTATGATAATACAATAATTCAAAAAAGTTTATCATTCCAAATACATGTTTTTAGAATGAAAAGGTTTGACATTTAAAGGAAAAACTAATGAAAGGAAAACTGCCAGCGTGGGTATTCTCTAAATTTAATTCGAAAATTGTTTAAGTAATCGGATGTAAATAGATACACAGCGCATAAAGAACTATCAACTTATGAGGCAATTTTCTTTATCCTTACATACCCTTAAAAATGATTTTACTTAAAAGACATTAGGTTAAATCATAGTCTAAAGAATTAACCTGCACATCCACACTATGTTGTCAACAAAACAGAGATGTATTATGACGTCATAATCACAATCAAAGGCCTTTTGATGTTTGAAAACATTTGGGTGATACTGATTTCCGGAATAAGAAGCATAAATTAGGGAATATTGTAAAAGTAATATTTCTTTTAATCTTTATACATTTGAAGTTTGTCAATCCCACAGGATTTTATGTAACATTTGCATATTAGTTTGATCATTCTAATTAAGTGTATAAAAAGGAAATCAAACTATAGTAATTTATCTCCTGGTTCCAAAGTGAAATAAAGCATATATGGGGAAAACGAACAGTATTCAAACACGGACCTCCAGAACATCAGAGGTGGGATCAGGTGCCATGGAGGGGTAAGCATCCCCTGCTGACCGGTCAAACCCACCGTGTGCTCCTTGTCATGATCGGAAAATGACGAAAAATCCGTCGTTAATTCAATGTACGAGGGCCGTTCAAATATTACGCGGAATCTGCTGTTATTTACTCTTACAGACGTCATATAGTTATGAAATTTCACAGAAATATGTATCTTACAGATTCAAATAAATTTTGGGCAAAATTTCTGTATCTAAAAAAAAAATTCTTAAAATTATCACTGGGTTGATATCGCTGATGGGGAGGTACGGAGCAAGGCAAAAACTTTGAAACAAAAGCGTGCGGAATCCAAAATTTGATGCGCCCGGATTTTTTATAATTCGCGTATATTTTTTGACCGGATAACGGGTATTTTTTACGTGCTGCTAATTTTTACTAATTTTTACAGAGTTTTATAAATCCGTAAAATTTGAAAACCACGCGTAAAATTTCACATTTTTTTTATTTTTATAAAACGGCTCGTGTAAATTTTCGACATCACATGTGTAAAAGTAATGCTAATTGTCATTAAGCTCACTCCCTGGAGGCTATATAATTAGTGTACTGGTATTTTGAATACTTTTAAGTCAATCATCAATTGGGATCATAGAGGTAAATCTCAATTAACTTGTAAAAATTATACAAACATCGTCAATTAATTAATCTGTTAGATCTACCTGGTTACTCTTTTTGAGTATTTTTACGAGACGCATGAATTCTGATAATGATTTAATAATTACAGGTCTTCCAATTATACCCATGTTTTCAATCTTTGACACTTTCTTCTGTTTCATTTGCTTTGAATGAAACTTCGTCTTCTTAATACACTGTACATGTATACTTTCACTTCAATTATGATAGTTTGAGTTGTCTCTCTTGTTTTTGGTAAATCCAGACGAGTACGTGGTGTGCCTAGCTACAATGAAGCGCATTGAAGTGGTAAAATTTTCCGTTTGGATGAAACGTTCTGAGTCATGTTTTGAACGTCAATTATTACAGAATGACACGCCCATTTCTTTAGAAACGTACAAGAAATATTCGTGGTAATGTTTTAGGACACCCCACTCTTTACAAAAAGCAACATCAGTTTCACTGAAATCGAGATTTTTAAAGTTATAAGAGAGATTTAGAGAATATATCCACCTGACTATAAAACAAGTATTGCAACGAATTTGTACATAATTATGAATATTATCTGTTTATTGGCGTTTCCATAACACATGTACTGTCCTCTCGAACACGTGCGTACTCTGTGTTTATGTAGGCCGTGAATTTGATTGGATATTATATTTTTAGAATACCTGTTCTACAGGTATTCCAATTTGAACCATGCGACCGATTTTCCTTTCTAAAGAAATGGGCGACATTGTATGACAATCAACGTTCTAAAGATAGCTCAAAACGTTCCATTCCAACGGGAAATTTTACCACTTCAATGCGCTTCATTGTACGTGTTTTATAAAACATGAATAAATGAAGGGTACATGGTTTGTGTATATAAAGGTAAATGATAATTTTTGTTAATACATTATGTAATTTGTGGCATTGTTTATATTGTTATAATTTAATAATCTCTCTCCCCCCTCTCTCTCTCTCTTACATCGCGGGTTTTCGGACACATTATTTGTAAAAAAACGTTAATTTTTTTAAAGTGCTAACAATTAGTGATCTGAAATTTTACATCTGATGGTTTTAATTTTTACGGACCTTTTCAATTCGTAAAAAATTAACGCGTTAAAATTTAAAAACCCTTTTTGACCAAAATTCGTAAAAATTTACACAGTAAAAATTACCGTTATACGGATATTGTTTTTGTTCTATTTTTATGTCTGTCTGTTTGTTTGTTTTGTTTGTCTCCAAACTTTAACCTTCGCCATAACTTTTGAACCATGAAAGGTAGAAACTTCATATTTAGTATGCATACTTATAATGAGGTGCTTTCAGTTGACACCAATATTAAGAGAACCTTGTGACCTTGAATGTGAGCTATATGAATATAAAAATAACTTTTCTGTCTGCAAACTTTAACCTTCGCCATAACAATTAAACCATGAAAGAGCTTAAGGTCCTTCATCTTTAGTATGCAGGTTAAAAGCCAGTACACTAATAAAGTTCTTTTTTAAACACAAAGGTCAATTTATGGTGACCTTACTGTTTTATGCTAAAAATACAGTAGCTTTTTCTGTAACTTTCACCATAACTTTTGAACCATAAAAGTATTTTGTGTGCATAAAATAAAAAAATCAAGTTCTTGTCATTGACACCAATTCAATGACCTGGTGACCTTGACTGTGATCAAAAAATGCTAGAATTTGCTAAAAATGAGCTTTTTAAAGATTTTTGTTACACGAATAAACAGCTTATTGTGTTTCACAAACACAAATTGTTATACACATGTAATTCGTAGATATTTTTTTGACATGCAATTTTCTCAAATGTATCTTTATATTGTTCTAGCATGTATATAAATTTCTAACGTGATATTAGAAGTACTAACAGAAATATGGCGGCCGGTAATAATTTAATGCCATTAGATTCCTGTGAAAACGACTGTGAAAATGACGTCTCCTGAATTGACGGAGCACCACACTTTTGTTAAATTATGTGTAATGTTCGAGATATCGCCAACATAGATCCAAAATATGCATAATAAAACATGTAGTTAATCAGGGTATTTGTCCACAAATATTGGAATTTTAGACCGTTAGACCTCTGTACAAAGGCTATACGGGAGGACGGGAAGAAGATTATGGACGAAAATCTTATCCGGATTGTTAAAAACGTGATTGAGAGTGACCAATGCCACACTTTATCTCATAAATTCCTAGCTGCAGAACGGTAGCTCTCCAAAAAAAATATGTATAAAGCCGTTTTTTGTAAGTATGGAAATGTCCAAGGTCAAAATTGTTGGTTTCAATTGGAAGGTCTTGTCAAAAAGAATTGATATTTGAAATATGAAATTCCTAGTTTCTACGTTTTAAAAATTAGGACCAGAGTAAAATTTTGGATTTTTTTGTGTAAAAATCGGTCAAACTCCAAGGTCAAAGGATCAAGGTTCTTAATATCAAATTAAAGGTCTTGTCACAAGGATTAAATATCTAAAGTAAGAAAGCCTTAGTTCCACCCCTTCAAAATTATATTCAAGCTTGTATTTGAAAAGTAGGCCAAACTTCAAGGTCAAATTCTTGGTATCCAATGACGTATCTGCTCACAAGGATTACATATGCGAAGCATGAAAGCTCTACCGTATCCCGTAAAATTTATGACCAAGGTTAAAACTTTACTTAGTACGGAAATCTCCAAGGTCAAGGCCAAAAGGTCAAAAATTTTGGTACTCAATGAAAGGTGTTGCAACAAAAAAAAACATATATGAAGTAAAAAAAAGTTCTGGTGTTATTGTTCAAAGGATATGGCCAAAATAAAAGTTTGGAATTTTTGTGTAAAAGTGGGTAAAAAGGTCAAGGTTAAAAGATCAAATTCGGTCAAACCCAAATAAAGGTCTTGTCACAAGGAATGCACATGTGAAATATGAAAGTCATAGCTCCACTAAATCAAAAGTTCTGGACAGACAGACAGACGGACACGACAAAAAAATCTATACCCCAAAACTAAGGTAGTTTAAAATTCAATCCTCCACCCCTGTTAACTTTTCAATACTAAACTGATTTTTGCTTCTTTTTCCTAGCCAATCCGCTCAGGGAAAGGATGTGGACCATGGGCCTCTTGTTACAACAAATAACACTCTATATATCACTATTCATGTATTTTTATGAAAATAATGAGTCATTTTAAATATGCTTTCAACCAAATTGTTTTCTATATATCATATAAATTTTTATGCACCCGTAAACGAAGTTTGATTTAGTAGAGCTATGACATCCTTATTTCACAAGTATATTACTTTTGACAAGACCTTTCTTTGGGTTCCATCGAATTTGATCTTTTAACCTTCATCTTGAAGTTCTACCCACTTTCTCACAAAAATTTCCAACTTCTACTTTAGCCATATCTTTTGAACAGTAGATACCAGGATTTTTATACTTCATAAATGTATTCTATGTGGAAAGACCTTTCATTGAGTGCAAACAACGTTGAAATTTTTGACCTTGACCTTGGAGATTTCAGTACTCATAAAAACTATAACATTTGGCATAACATTTAAAAAATAAAAGCTAGGGCTTTCATATACTTCACATATTTAATCCTTATCAGGAGACGCTTCATTGGATACCATGAACTTTGACCCTTTGACCTCGGAGTTTAATTCACTTTTAAAATACAACATTGGGTATAATTTTTGAAGGGTTTGGACTAGGGCTTTCACACTTCATACATCTAATCCCTATGACAAGACCTTTAATTTGATATCATAAACTTTGACCCGTTGACCTTGGAATTTGACCCATTTGAACACAAAAGATCCAAACTTTTACTGTGTGCCCATTTTTAAGCGGTAGATACTAGGAATTTCATATTTCAAATATCAATGTTTTTGGTAAGACCTTTCATTTGAAACTAACAATTTTGACCCTTTGACCTTGACCTTGGAGATTTCAGTAATTACGAAAAAAAACTTTAAACTTTGCCATAAAGGCTAGGGTTTTCATACTTCACGTATGTAATCCTTGTGAGAAGACTTTTCATTGGATATCAACAACTTTGACCTTGGAGAATGACCTTCTTTTTACAAACTTTAACATTGGCCATTACTTTTGAACAGTTAGAGCTAGGGCTTTCATACTTCATATATGTAATCCTTGTAAGAAGACTCTTTCATGCTTCTCATATGCAATCTTTGAGACAAGGCCTTTCTTCAGAAACCAACAACTTTGATCTTTAGACCTTGACCCTAGATTTTGTCCCACATTTAAAAGCGTTAATCATGCTCATAACCTTTGAACAGGTGGTGCTAGGGTTTATATTTCACATTTGTATTTCTTGTGAAAAGGCCTTACTTTAGGTACAAACATATTTGATCCACATTTGAAAAAGCTTGACTTTCGCTACATGTATGTTGCCATACGGGGCATCAGTGTTTCACAAACACATCTTGTTTTTTTTTTCATATTTTCATCACACATTCTGCAGTTTGATTTCCGTCACCTGTTCATTGAGACATTAATTAACGAATTTCAGTTTTTGCTCAAGTGCAACAAGATTAACCCTTTTTCATATATCCGTGCAGTTTACAAGTCGTTAAATTTCTTTACAATTCTAATTCACTCAGCCACAGGGAGATTATATCAGTTACAAACAGTTTATATTAACACATTGTTTACATGTATTTTATTTTCTTCACTTTATAACTGGAACACTCGGCCACAAAGAGGTTATCTACGGTGTCAACACATAAACCCCATGGATGCTGCAGATCACAGTTATCAATGTAACGGAGGAACTGTCCGTCCTGATCTAGGATGTGGATACAGTGTTGGGATGTATCAGTTGTCAGAATGTGACTCTGACTATCTGTTGTGATGCCGTGTGGATCAAAAAATCCTTTGGTAGTGGAGGGATGACCAGTATATCTAAATAGGAGTTTTCCTGCCTGATTAACCACCACTACTGCTCTGGCTCCGTTGTCAGCCACACAGATATTCAGGTTCCTGTTCTCACTGACGTAGCAACAAGATGAATACAGAGGTTTACCTTCACTATTAAATTGAATAGTTTGTTTCTCTGTGGAGCCAGAGTAACGGATAACTTTTGATTGTTTATAATCATAACTGTCCATGGTTACCAGTAGGTCACCAGAGGAGGTACTACAGACATACCAAGGTATCCATCTCTGTAGTCTGATCACTTCCTGTATCTGTTTATTTTTCACTATGTTAACAGTTTTTGTATCATAGTCAGAATAAACTAGATCTCCACTCATTGTCACTGCTATGTCAAGTGCTATGTTCCGTGACTTGGTTTGGATTGACTTCAGTAGTTTACCTTCAAGGTTGAAGAGTTTCAAGATTTTATCATTCCCGCAAGTCCAGATTTCTTCATCACTGAGACAGGAAACACTGTATAGATTATACCGAGTGTCTATGGTGGTGGTGAGCTCTGGTTTATCAAGCAGTGGTTTCACTGGAGGAGAGGATACAGCTTTAGATGTCTTCATTGTGTAGCCATGTTCTTCTTTTGTAATGGAAAATGCTGACAGGGAACCAAACATTTGATTTAGCGTTTCTTTTTTAATTTGATTTGGAGAGAAACTTGGTAATATGACGTTGAATTTAGGAGGTAGAATCCTGAATTCGACATTCTTTGATTTGTAAGCAGATGTAAGGGAGACATCATTGGAGTCCAGTATTCTCTTCAGATCAGCTATGCTTTGTTTTATATCTAAAGTAATCTGTTTGAATTCTTTTTGCTGTTTATTTAGAGCAGCCAAGTGTTCTTTTTTCATCTCATCAATTTCAGATTTCTGTTTGTTGATAATGATGTCAATTTCTCTGTGCAAGTCTTCTCCTTGTTTGGTGACAGCTGTTGTCAGTTTCTCGTAATGTTTTTCCAAGTTGACTTTTTCAGAGTTAAGATCTGATGTAATTTCTTCGTATGTAGGGTAGATATTTTCCTCTAGTTCTTCCAAGTCGTTTTCTAAAATTTTTGGTTTAGAACTGAGTTTCTGTAGAGCATATGAAAAATCGTGTCCTTTATGTTTCCCAGAGTAGATGCAGGTAGAACAGACAGGAATGTCACATTGCTCACAGTAAAGTTCACAATGTTTTTGGGTGTGGTTTGTACATTTTGGGAAGTTAGGAATAGAAGTCCTTTGTTTGTATGGTACCACATTGTGTCTTTTGGATGAATCAGAGAGATGCTCTCCTACACAGGCCTTACACAGGTTAATCTGACAAAGTTCACAATGACTCTGTAATGCAGCTTTTTGACACAGGTCACAGAGGAGGATGTCTTGAGCTCTGTCCAGGGGGTCCATCACTGGGGTTTTGGTCAGTTATTGACTTGATCCTGTAATTAAAGAGTATAGTGAGACTTACATGTTTACAGGAATTAAAGCAATTTTACACAACAACAAGAGATTTAAGTTTTTTGTTTGAAATCCTTTAAGTAAGTATAAATCAGTCGAAGGGAACCTTCTAAATTTTTCATTCCCAATGCAAATTTACATATTCCCTTTCACACAGGACATAACACGCCCACAAACAAACACACGCTCACATGATTGTGTTATTATATCCTCTTCAACTCTGTTGCAAGGGGATAATGATATTTATATTTCATTAAAAAGTTTGTTGTAATTTTTATCATCAGTTGAAGCAAGTATGTATAATGCAGCTATTTAATGCTATACTTTCAATTAATCTATAATTTACGACACTAATTGAGATCATGAATGACAACTGAATAATGTCTTGTCACATGTTATATCTTCTACATATTATTTTGTATTGTAAATACTGCTAATGGTTTTATAATTTCTTATCTTGTAACATATGTTAAATCTTCTACATATATTATCTTGTATTGTAAACGCTACTTTATGTTTTCTTGTAACATGTTACATCTTCTACATATTATTATCTCACCTGAGCCGAAGGCTCAAGTGAGCTTTTCTGATCAAAATTTGTCCGTTGTCTGTCGTCGTCGTTGGCCTTGTCGTAAACTTTTCACATATTCATCTTCTTCTCAAGAACCGCTAGACCAGTTTCAAACAAACTTGCTACAAAGTATCCTTGCGTAAAAGGGATTCAAGTTTGTTCAAATGAAGGGACACGCCCTCTTCTAAGGGGAGATAATTATGAATTAGTGAAAAATTGATGGCATTTTTTAGAAAATCTTCTTCTCAAGAACCACTGGGCCAGGAAAGATGAAACTCATGTGGAATCATCCTCAAGTAGTGTAGATTTAAGTTTGTTCAAATTATGACCCCAAGGACAAAGGTGGGACCACAATGGCAGATCAAAGTTTTACGTAGGAATATATAGGAAAAATCTTTCAAAATCTTCTTCTCAAGATCCATAGGGACGGGAAAGATGAAACTCACGTAGAATCATTCTCAGGTAGTGTACATTCAAGTTTGTTAAAATCATGAACCCCGGGGTTGGGGTGGGGCCACAACGTCTCATCAAAGTTTTACATAGGAATGTATAGGGAAAATCCTTAAAAATCTTCTTCCCAGTATCCAAAGGGACAGGAAATATGAAACTTATGTTAAATCATCGTACGGTAGTGTACATTCAAGTTTGATCAAATCATGCCACCTGGGGGTAGGGTGGGGTCACAATTGCTGATCAAAGTTTTACATAGGAATATATAGGAAAAACCTTCAAAATCTTCTTCTCAAGAACCATCGGGACAGGAAAGATGAAACTCATGTTGAATCATCCTAGGGTAGTGTACATTCAAGTTTGATCAAATCAAGCCACCCGGGGGAGGGTGGGATCAAATTTTTACAGGAATATATTTTATGAAAAATCTTTAAAAATCTATTTAAGATCTATACCCAGATAGCATGACTATGTTGGGCCAACACTAGTAAAAGGTTGTATGGTTGGTGTTGGAGGAACAACGTTGGGCCAACGTTGGACCAATGTTACCATGTCAACCTTCTCGACCATGACAGAATTCCTATGTTGGCCCAACGTTGGTCCAACGTAAGCAACTTCCATTCACTTTACTTTCCAAGGAAGGAAGAATACTAATGTTGGCCCAACGTTGATCCAATGTTTAAAATACACCCTTAAAGAAAGTATCTTTTCAAACTGGTAGTAGTATGTTGGCCCAACGTTGGCCCGATGTTTGTAATACACCCTTAAAGAAAGTGTCTTTTCAAATTGGTAGTAGTATGTTGGGCCAACGTTGGCCCAATGTTTGTATTACACCCTTACAGAAAGTGTCTTATCAAGTTGGTAGTAGTATGTTGGACAAACGTTGGCCCAATGTTTGTGATACACCCTTACAGAAAGTGTCTTATCAAGTTGGTAGTAGTATGTTGACCTAACGTTGGCCCGATGTTTGTAATACACCCTTAAAGAAAGTGTCTTTTCAAATTGGTAGTGTATGTTGGGCCAACGTTGGCCCAATGTTTGTATTACACCCTTACGGAAAGTGTCTTATCAAGTTTTTAGTAGTATGTTGGACCAACGTTGGCCCAATGTTTGCAATACACCCTTACAGAAAGTGTCTTATCAAGTTGGTAGTAGTATGTTGGCCCGATGTTAGCAAGAGTGTTATTTTGTTTAGGTGTTTCAAAGATGGGATATTTATATTGGGCCAACGTTGGTCCAATTAGTATACTGCCAACTAAATGATGGTGTCAATTTTATAATTAGCTGCTGAGCTTTACGTTTGGGACAACGTTGGTTCCGAATATTAATTTAGATGCACATTCTGAAATAATTAAGAGGACATTCTATGTCCATGCTTTTCATTGGATTACTGCTTTTGTTTAGATATGATATATTCAACATTTTAACTTTGAACTTAAGTGATCACTGCACCAAAGAGTGTTTTATTCTATTTTTTGAAATGTGTACATGCTTATTTATGTGTAATAAAACGCTTAAAATTGTGATTTTTTTCATGAGCGTTACATATTCATGAGAATTTAGAGAATACTGAATACATATTAGTTAAAAGTTCACAGGAACAGAATGTGAATCCCAGATAGCAGAACATCGTTGGTCCAATCTTACATTACGGTTGTATTATCGCTGTTGGGTTACCTTTACTGGGCCAACCATGGTCCAACATGGAATGATGAAAGTTGGTTATGTATAATGGGGTCAAGGTTGGGCTAACTGTTGGCGTTATATCATAAAACTATTAACGTGATAGAAAATTTTTGTTGGGGGATTGGCATCGGGCCCCAAGTTGGCCCAATATACCATGAATCTGGTTGAGCATCATGGGTAGAGAACATCCGGGCTACTTGTAATATCCGCGCCATTTTTAATCTGACACGAGCGTAATGTGACTGATACCTTGCATATCTGCATCCACTTTGTAAGTATTTATAATATGTTTGCTTCGACACAGCTTAATTTACGTTTATAGTTTAAACGATATCGTGTACAAATCTGTGTAAATCAGACACGGGGAAGTGCAGAGGCCAAGTGCTGTTGGGTCAACACTATCCCAGATATCATGCTAACATTGGGCCAACGTTGGGTCAATGTCATCGGTTACAATGGGCCAATGTTGGCAAATGACATTGGCCCAGTGTATGTTTGCTCATCGGCCTAATGTTGGCCCGATATATTAGGCCAACGTTGGTCCAATGTAGAGTGTCATTTATTCGCCCAACGTTGCGACAACATTGTCCAAATGAATGCGACATTGGGCCAATATTGGCCCAACGTCAACAAGAACATTGGGCCGATGTTGGCAAATGACGTTGGCCCAATGTAAGTTTGCTGATTGGCCCAATGTTGGCCCGATATATTGGATCAACATTGGGCCAATGTGTATAAACATTTAATTGTCACAAATCTGTATATTAACAAATCCAATAGTCTCTACAATTAGAAATAAATCTACCACCAATCCTACCTGAAAATACAAGGTAGTTAAAATAAATTTTCATGGCTTGTTAAAATTCTTATAATTTATCAAAACAAAATAAAATATCAATGATTAAATTTATTGTTTCTATACAAGAAAAATAAATGAAAGTATAAAATAACAAATGTGTTTTGATACAGTTGAGCAATAAATAATTTACCTCTGATTTAGATTGAAATTTGTGTCTAGTAGAATAAATTTATGAAGTCTACCACTCATTTTACTTATATACACTAAGCGTCGAGCACATGATCAAACATGTTGAACATGTTGAAGTTAAAACAAAATTTATTCAATACTAAAACATAAATTGGGTTCTTTCATTTAAAATTTGTACAGTGTACCGACAAATTTTTCTATACATATATTTTTCTTTGAATAATGATTTATATGGGGCAACATTGAATCAAAATTGGTGTGATGATGATGATCAAGCGTACAAATTTTATGCATAAATACCTTCATTACGCAAGCTAATCGTTTAATCACACCATGAAACAAAAAGACGGTTATTCCTCAATTGACAACTTAAACATATAGTGATATACTTGTAAATTTAATCGTATGTTTCCTCTTTACTGAGAAAAGTAACAAGTGTATTAAGTACTAAATACTACAATTTTAGGCTACTGGAGATTCTAAAAAAGACATTGAGAACACAATCAAAGAAAGGCTAAAGTATGCCAAGGACAGGGATGGGGGAGGAAGAAACGGACAGAAAAGAAAAGAAGGGGGAGGAGGAGACTCGGGAGAGAGAAGAGGAGACTTAGGAGAGGGATCAGATGGAAAGTGGCAGTGCCTAACTTTTTTCTGTTATATACTGTGACATACCGGTAGTTCTACTCTTTTCTGTGTCTGTTTGTCGGTAACAAACATGATGCAGATGCCAGAAACATTTTTTTGTGTAAGTAAACAAAATGGCGGGATTCATTTTGGTATTATTTTAAGAACAGGAGGGCTTTCTTTATTTTTTAGACATGCTTATTGATACCTGCAATTTTCTGAACTTGTGCATAAATTTACATCAGAGAGGGAGTATACAGTCATGTTACCCTATACATGTATCGCTTCAAGAGAGCATCAACTTTTTGTTCTTTATTAATGTTTTCTGCATGCACTGAGCAATAAAATACTCGTATGTTTACTTATAATTTGATTTTATATTCTTTTTCCTCAGTTTTTTTTAATTAATTTAAAGCTACTAACAATGCAATACTTGTTGATAGTAATTCTAAGAGATATTGTGAATATGTAATTAACTATTAATCTAGCATATACTAATATAGTATTAAAGGGCTTTTACCATTAGACTGAACTACAAAACTAGCATAACCAATTATTATATATAGTTTGTTATTCAATTTTGAGGACAAATGGCCAACCAGTGAAGAGCAAATGAGTTGTCCTGATGGC